TATACAACATTTGAATATGAATAACTTTAAAAACTAGTGATTTATAAAGCAGCGCACAAAACACGTTTAAGCTTGTTGCCCGCGCGAGTGGAATATCACGTCTCAGCTTGTCTGGCTTCACCGCTCTATAATACGGGACGCCAGAACAGAGGCAGGCAGAACCCGCTCACACTCGGTCAAGTGAAGATCAATAACCTTAGTGTGCTACAAGCTATTATGCTTACGAAGTGAAGCCTGTAGCGTACAGCGGATTATAGACAGTGACATTATTTGCAAGGACTGGAACAACCCTGGAAGTGGGTGAGAATGAATAATACATAAGCATTTTTTTGGCATTGTTGTTGGCTAGAAGGAAATCTGACCAGGCAGTCTGTTGGAATATCTAAAAAAATCGAATATAAAATACAGCGGGATAGGACGTCACACTGTGAAATCCGATAGATGCTGAAAAAGTTTCAGCTTATTAAATTTATTTTCAACCTGTTGATTATTATGATTTGCTACCAGAGTACAGGATTTAACTTATTCAATTAAAGTGAACTCTCCTTTCTTACAGATTACAGGACGTGAAAAACCCATGTAAGTCAATGAAAAACACAACCAGAAGGATATGTCCTTGGTAGAAAATATTGTGTCTATGCCTGCCACGGGCAGTCATGCAGGCCGGGGTTTATTTTCAACTTTGGTTGGCAAAACTGGACCTTACTTTCACGACGAGTGTTTGCCTCTCAGTGGAATGTCGAAAATGCCAGAACATTCAGTGACTGTGGTTTCCAGTGAAAATGAATATGGATATTCAGTGACTGGTTGTACAGAATCTTCTATCGTAGAGATGTCGAAAGAGAGTCCCAGCACACACTCGCCAGCGGTGCAGCTGTCATCTGAGGCTACAGCAAGTAATGACATTAGTGATAAAGACGTAGGCAAACGCCGTAACACAAAAGCTACTACAGGAGAAAAATCAGGCAGAACATCTGCAGAAGCAAGAGTGGAAACGCCAGTTGCCAAAATCTCACCAATTCATGTGTCAGTGAAGAGGCCCCGAACACCTTTGTCCGATGAAAATTTGGGAGATCCTCTAGAAAAAAGGGCAAGAATTGTGACAGATACAGCAAATGAAGCACAAAGTAAGACTGAAAAATGTACTGCTACATCAACGATAACTGTGAACCAAGACATGCTAATTGAGTCTTCAGCAGGGGAAACTGCAAAGAGAAGAACCACCTGAAAGTATATCTAGGATCTCGGTTAGTGGCAGTTCATCAGCAGAGGAATCAGGAGCAATGGTGCGGCTGTCAAAACTGTCTGAACCATTAACAGTAGATAATGAGATAGTATCGAGAAGTTCCACAGTGCCACCAAAGCAAAGCATGGGCAGTATAACAGAAGGACCATCAATGACCATAAATGAAAATGCAGATACACATGAAAATGGGGCAAGCGTATATCAGGCAAAGGCAGCATCATTAGAGACGAAAGTGGATAAATTGATGATTCCATCACCTCAAGACGAACAAAAACAACACACGCCATCTGCAGTTAATAGTGCAAAGGTTCAAAGTATGCAACCCAGGAACCCTTCACAGCAAAGATGCTTCCTGGATCAGTGGAGACAGCATCTCCAGGGAGAGAAGAAAGATGTTTAGTATGTGGAAAGTTTGACTGTCCTTTGTTCTAGATAAGAAATTGAAAACTATTTTTACAAAAACACAATCTCTTGTAAAGAGGGAGCTTTGTTCAATGTGTGGAAGGTCTAACTGTCCTTTAATCCTAATCAAGAAATCGAAACCCTCGATTGTACTTACATCAAAGGAAAGTCTTGTGGGGAAGTTAAGGTCTCCAAGCGTACGAAGTGTTCCCAGTCCTTCATCAGTGAAGTCGAGAAGAGTAAATGCACTCATCCGACGAAATATCGGTACGAAAATTGCAGCAAATGGATTGTTTAAACGAATCGCCAACCACTCATCCCTTCAGACTATCAAGTTGGAGGTAAAAAATATAAAACTAAAGATACGAGTAGGTTATTTGTTCTTCACTTGGATATATCATTGATGTTTGTGCTTCATTATAATATGATTTCATTGTTCAAAATTTAATATAGACTTTATTCTCTAGGCTGAACTGTTCAAATCCGTGGAAAATGGAGACTCGGCAAGAGTGCAGGAACTGATTCAGTACACGGGGGCAGCTGTGAGGAGAAGCAAGACCAGTTGCACACTTCTTCATGCTGCAGCGTCTCACAACCAAGCGGATGTGGTGGTGTTTCTGCTGAAATTGATCAGTCCCAATATTACCAACGAGGAGGACACTCCAGCTCACGTGGCCGCTGAAAAGGGTCACACGCAAGTGCTGAAACTTCTAGTGCGTGACCCTGACTTCGATGCCGAAACGGGATGATCTCCGTAACTCTGTGAAAACCCTGGTAAGTGTCAGTAGTAATGATGGATATATCAATCCTAATATAAATCAAACTTGTTAATCCCTAAACCGCACCATGTATTGAGATAAGGGATTTAACTGTTCATTATCTATAAGATGTTACCTTCAAACTTTCAGCTTGGTGGCCATCCGTATTAGAAGGGAACAAGAAAGAAGCAGATAGACTGTTGGCAGTTGGTGCAGACCCAGACAGTCACGGCGGAAAGCTGGGTGGATGGAGTGTTGGCACGAGAGCTTGGAGTGACAACGCCTCGCCTGCTGGCCAATGCCCTGAACATGGAGTCGATCGTGACCCTGTTTGACAAGGTATTTTTCTAGATGTTAAGTTTCCCTTTAGATTATCTGCGATATGTAATAAATCATTAAAAAATATCTGATGCAATGTGAATTTAAAGTAATTCACGACAATTTAATATTCTAGAAAGCATCAAAAAGGTGCAGCCAAACCGTCGAGAGTAAATCTCTGCCATCATCCGCATTAAGCACAGTACACATCAAGGTGCGTAACTTTTATTCTTTCTATTACTTTCATTATAGGCTTTTGTTATTATTAAATGCAAAACATGTGGAATCTTCATGTATAGGGAAACGCTGATTAATATACCTTCATGTGTAGAAAAAATTTGTTTATTACTGTATATTCCTTTACATTCCATCATCTGACGTCAGACGTCTATGAATTCTAGGTCTCAACACGACAGTTTCGCGTGAGACGGGCAACAGTAATTCAAGGAGGTGCTGATGTGTACAAGATGGACAAGGAGGCACGAGGCTTTGTTCGCATCTTGAACTTCAGTTGTTTCAAGGACAGATCCGACCTGAACCTTCAGCAACTCGACTACGATGCTTGCATAATGTCAGATGTATTTGATAAGATGGGATACATGTGTAAAACACACTCGTCACTCACGGCTCAGCAGACTAAGGAGGTCTTGAAAAACATTAGGGATGGTGATGAGCTAACGGACGTCGGATGTGCCATATTTGTCATATCTGGCTATGGTGTTAATGGCAGGAAGATTCTCACATCTGACATGCAATGTGTCGACACAGACTACATTTTGAATCTCTTCAAAGATTCCGAATGTCCTCAGCTCAGAAACAAACCCAAACTTTTCATCTTTAATTTGTTCAAAAGTGAAGCTATCACGAGTTCAAGAAGTGAATCTCCGAAAGTGGTGAGATTGGCAGATCCTCTCAAGGACATGGCTTGTATATATTCCAACAGCATCGGTCTCGACTGCGTCCCGAATGGGAAAGGAACCTCCTTCAGCTGGTCCTTGTGTCGCGCTTTGGCAGACCATTCTGCTGAGCAGGAACTCGGTGACCTCTACCGAGAATTCCTGAAGGAGTACAGCAAGAGCTCTCCTTCTTCGTCACCCGAGTTGAGGCTCTTTGGATTTACAAAAAAGTTCTTCTTTAATCCATTGTAATCTGAATGACATCCCTTTGGGAATTTTGAACTTGGTTAATCATTGTCTGATTTTCAGAAGTATAACAATTATGAGGGAGTGAATTCTTGAAAATAGTTGCACATGATATGAAGTGGATTTCTAAAATTTATGAAAGCATTTATTTTCCATATTCATATGCTTAAGGGGCACACTATGTAAATATTGCGTAAATACATCCGACGTCAGTTTTCTATTTTTCAATACCCAGACCTCCAGATTTATTATGAAGTTTTCCTTTGTGTACATATATCTCTATGTATATATACACATATACACGCAGATATACATACATTATATAATATATATATATATATATATATATATATTATATATATATATATATATATGTGTGTGTGTGTGTGTGTGTGTGTGTGTGTGTGTGTGTGTGTGTGTGTGTGTGTGTGTGTTTCTGCTTCTGAAGAAGCAGAAACCAAGATCGGCAACGGTAGTGAAACCGAAGCAAAAGATTCTGTAAGAAAAGTTAAGAAAGTAATGAAAACACAAGAAACTGTTAAACAGATCGAAAGCAATTTGTCAAGCAGCCAGGTTCAGATAATGGAAGAAGCAAAAAGATAATAGCTACAGTGTATCACAGGTAAAAGAGACAGTAATTGAAATGGTGAAAAAGATAGAATAAAACATCACAACGGAAGAAATTAAGACACAGCTTGCAGAGACGGTAAAGAAAAATTAATTCATATCCCACCTTGGGCAACATACAAGGAGTATTGCTAATTTGGCTAATGTAAATAAGGATATAGTCATATTACGACATGAAGAAAAAGTTGTAGAAGATGAAACTGAACGATACAACGAGGACAAGAAAGGGATTATAAATATCCTCAAGGTCATAAATCCCGAATTCGCGATGCAGAATATCATAGCTCGCAGGAGGCTGGGATTATTAGAAAAGGGAAAGAAACGCCCTCTAAAAGTAACATTCTTTTAACTGCAAATGGTAACTGATATAATAAAGAACGGCAAAGTCCTGACCACCCATGAAGAATATAAGAAAATCTGATCAAGGATGACAGAGAAACACTGCAGAAAAAATGGAAGAGGTAAAGAACAAAAATGAACTAAGTACTAAAGAGGAAAAAAAACTTGTTACTTGGAGGGTGAGAGGTCTCCAAGCAAGGGATGTTGCTACAACTAGAGATAATAATTGAAAGAATAAACCAGATATGATATCCATCACTGAATCCGAACCAGCTCGAAAGACGATGTAACATTAGGACTCAAAGACTATCATATTTGGAGAAAAGATATGGCAAATGGAAATGGAGGGGGGGATAGTGATATTAACAAGGAAAGGAATTATTCCAAAGGATTAGAAATTAAGCAAGACTCCACAGTCGAAATGAAGGCAATTGAGGTAGAAACAAACAGGGTAAACATAATAATACTCACAGTATATATGCCACCTCATACATCGGTGTGGTCATATGAAAATTACCCAAAACTAATTCATTAAAGAGCCTGGAAGAAGTGTTACAACTTTTCACAGGGGATTTTGAAAGCAAAACTGACTGGGAAAGTTTCGATCCCAGAACGGAACCACATTTTGGGAATGCTAAATTACTTCGTCATAATTGAGTATTGCCTTTTCCAGCATGTAACAGATCATACGAGGGCTAGACAGACCATCTATGCTTGACGTGATATTCACAAACATTAAGATCATATTTAGGATATCGACTACTGTCCTCTTTTAGGGAAAAAAAAAAACGATCATGTAGTAATTAAACTCAAATACTGTCTGCTACAGGAAAAACTCATCGTGAGTAAAGAAAGGAATGAGGAAAATTACAAGAGAGGCAACTATAGAAGCGATTTCTTTGATATGAACTGGAAAACACTTCTTGTCTATGTGACCTTGATGTTCAATATTCAAAAATTTGAAAAACATATCAAAACTTAACACTGAAGCAAGGAATGGCCAAAAATGGTTCAATAACAAATGCAAGAAAATGAGAGAAAGCAAGCAGCTCCATTAGAAAAGATTCAGAAGACATAAATCTCAGACAGCGTATGGAAGATATAAAGTTGGAAGAAATGAATATACCCAAACCATGAGAGAGGCGAAATTAGCGCCATCAAAGACAATAACATCGTTTATACTAAGGAGGAAGAAATGTGTGAAATCCTAAATGAGAAATTTCAGTCAGTGTTTTTCAGGACCCATACTTTGATATGGCAAATACCCGTACAAACGTAAAAAAAGAACATCGAAAATATAACCCTCAAAAATAATAAAATAAAAGATCTACTAAAAGGATTAGACAAGACCAAAGTAGGACCAGATGAGATTACTAACTAGGTTCTTAGGGAATGTGCCGAACTATGTACTCCTTATTGTTAATATTCCATAATTCAGGGAGACAAGGTAAACTACCAAAATGTTGGAAACTCGCTAATGTTGCATATAAAAGCGGCAACAAACAAAAATCTAGATTATAGACCAGTTTCGTCAACTAGTGTAGAATGCAAACTGTTAGAATGGATAATTAGCAAACAATGGGTTGAGGTACTTGAAAAACACGAAATCATATGAAACAAACAATTTGGTTTCATTGAAGGAAGGTCATGTGTAGCGAATCTCCTCCTGAAATGTTACAAGAAAGAGACTGGTGGGTGGATTGTGTGTACTTAGATTTTAAAAAGGCTTTTAATAAAGTGTCCTATGGAAGACTAATACGGAAATTCAAGTACCTAGGTGGAGTGAAAGGCAAACTCCTTGAATAGATGAAAGACTTTCTTCATGAAAGACAGATGAGCACAGCAATTAGAGGGAAGCATTCTACATGGCGACGAGTAACCAGCGGAGTGCCTCAAGGATCGGTGTTGGCACCGATTATGTTACTATTTTCGCCAATGATTTTGCATCAACATAAGCCCAGGCAGTTATCTTAATATGGTTGCAGGCGACGTGAAATAAAGAAGGATAATAGATGACCTCTCATGTCAATACCTCTAAAGTGACAATGAAAACTTATTCACGTGAAATTGTACTTAGAAAATGGAATTCAATACCAATAAATGCCACGTAGTCAGGTTCAGAAAAAGTTAAATCTCCCACTATTCCAACATAAATTAGGAAACGCAATATTAAACGCAGCTGACAGGGAAATGATCTTGGGGTAATCATAACCAGAAACCAAAGCCGAAATGATCATATAAATGAAAAGGTCCATAAAATGCTACGACTGATTGACAACATGAAGAGGGCATTCGTGTATGTGGACGAAGATATGGTAAAGTTCATTATAGCAACCATAAGATCTAGGCTAGAGTACGATACAGTGGTATGGAGTCCACACTTAAAAATAGATATAGACAAACTGGAAAGAGTTCAGAGAGAAGCCACAAGATGGACACCTACGCTAAGAGATATGAGCTACGAAGATAGACTACTGGAATTAGGATTTACTACTTTGGAAGAAAGAAGGAAAAGGCGACATGATTATACTGTTCACCTAGGAAGAAGTGAGATTAGACATAGATGACTTATAATCTCGAACACAGAAACGAGGACACAATTAAAGGTTGGAAGTAAAAGGAAGCAATAAAAATGTCAAAAGTATAGTTTCCCAAACAGAACTATTGGAGCATGGAACAGTCTTCCAAAAAACAATGTGTGTGATAAAAATGTGCACACTTTAAAAGTTAAACGATTTAAATATATAGACGGGACCCTCTGAGCACTGAAACAACTTGATAAGAACACACATACACATATACAGTATGCATAAATTGGCGGGCATATATATATATATAATATATATATATATATATATATATATATATATATATATATATATTATACATACATAACACAACACACACACACACACACACACACACACACACACACACACACACACACACACACACACACATATATATATATATATAATATATATATATATATATATATATATATATATATATATATATATATATATATATATATATATATGCATGTACATGTACATATAGTATATACGATATGTATATATGTATACATATGCATATATATTATATATATATATATATATATATATATATATATATATATATATAAATGTATACATTTATATATCCATTTGTATATTAACATATATATATATTTATACACACACACACACACACACACATACACACTTATATATATATATAACACTCATTTATATCCATCCATTTATACATACACACACACACACACACATATTTGTGTGTGTGCGTGTGTGTGTGTGTGTGTGCGTATATGTGTATGTGAATATGTGAATGAATGTATATTGTGGGTGCGTGTCTGTGTATACATACATATATATGTATGTTTGTGTACAAACATACATATATGTATGTTTGTGTACATACATATATATGTATATTATATCTGTATGTATATATGTATTTACATATATGTATATATATGTATACATACACTCAGTCTCAGCAATTTAATCATCAGAGGAAAAGACCAGAAAAATGTTGTCGCTAAGGATTTTGAACACGATCCGCTACTGGGTTAACATAACTATATTTTGAGAGCTTCCCCGCGAGCAGACCAAGGGAATCCTTTGGAATGTCAGAGACAGAGCTCGGCTAAATGACGTCAAAAATATTTCTAACACTGACAAAGAGGTGCCATTTTGTTCAGTTGTTTAATGAATCGACCAAAGTCTGCGACGGAATTGCCTATGATATGAAAAGAAATGTATTTTTGGTCCTCTTTAACATTCTAGGAAAAAATCACAAAAATGTGCCATTAGCGAAATAATCATAATGAATCATAAACTCGACAAGATCCCTTCAGTGACCTGCAAAAACATATATACCAATAAGTGCGTTACGGCGAGAAGGGAACTTGTGTTTGAGCGCTTGTGGCAGGAACTTGGTGATCTCAGCGGAGAATTCCCAAGTGAACTGCCTTAAGTCAGTCTACTTGCATGCATGTACTTGGGCACTCTTTCCAATGAGAAATTCATGCGATGACCTTTACCGAGTATGCTAAACTATAATTGATACATGTATTAAAAAAATGACTGCTGTGGATACGTTCCCGAGTCTATACAGCTTCCTTATTTTTATTTATGTTTTTCGATCTGGATTTCTTCGTATCTTTTGAGTGATGTATACTGACTCATAACTTTCATTGAGTCTGCTATGCGTCGATTTTCCTCTTCCCAAGTGCTCTCTGGGGTGAATCAGTTTACTAAATATCATCATAAACGAAATTTAAGGATGGGGAAGGTAGGGAGAGAAGGGAATGGTTTTAGGGAGAGAGACAAAGAGAGAGAGAGAGAGCGGGAGAGAAGGAAAGGAGCTAAAGAAAATGGAGGGATGAAAGGTGAGAAAATGAGATACAGAAAGAAGAAAGAAAAAGAAAGATATGCAGTAGATACGAGTGGAATTGTGAAAGGCGAATCGATAATAAAAAAAGAAAAGAATAGAGAACCAAAAAGGACAAGAAAGAAAGTAGGAAAAGAGAAAAGGGGGATTGGCAATGAAAGACGGAGAATAACAAGGGAAGAGCATAGAGCGTGGAAGGAGTAGATAGAGGGACGAGAACAAAAATAATTAAAAGAGAGATTAACAGTAACAAAAAATATATCATAAGAGATTTTCACGGCATCTTAACCTCTATCAGTGACGTAATCGTGACGTAGCATCACAGGTTTCAACCCGTGAGAGTTTCCAAGTGTCGCTAGCACATCGGGAAGAAATGTGATAAACTGTATAGAAACATATATAAATATAACACACTTACGAAAAAGTAATGTATATACGTATACCCACTCAAAACCATATAGTCATAAATTTATCAATGTAAAACAAAGGTGGATATTATACAAGCATGCATATTCATGTAGGTACATGTATATCTAGCTATCGATTATCTAAGTATCTACCTATCTTATCTAGATATTTTGTGTGAATAAAGGACAGTGAATATTCATAACATAATCAATACATACTTAAATATCAGGATCAATTTTGTTGCAGAAAGGCCTAAATGACTGATTACTGTTTACTTGCTATTATCAACTGGTAGAAAAAATGTACCACACATATAAACACAAAAACACAATGTACATACACATAGTAAAAATACACGTTTTTACGTTACAGCAAAGAAACATGTATCTATTTCTATCATATACTTATCTATCCCTGTCTTTATCTATCATTCTATACAGTTCACGTTTCTTTACATCTATCCTTATGTATGTGCCTGTTTGCATCCATGTATGATGTATGTATACTTTTCCCGTTTTAGGGTAAGGTTAAAATCCAAAAAGGAAAACAAATATCAGCACAAGTTCGAGCGTATTGCGCGCGCAGCTGGGATATCGCGTTCCAACTTGTCTCGCGTCGGAGCCCTATAAATAGCGGACACACCGACCTTGCAGTCAGTGCTCGCTCGGTGAGCAAGGTGCAAACAGTGAAGCAATTGAAAGTGCCTCTCTACCATCTTGAAGCATACTTGTGCATTAAAGGAAAGAAGTTATTGAAATTCGTTGTGCAAAATCATTAGTGTTTGTGGTTAGTCAACAATTATTGGATTAATAATAAGGTAGGAAAAATGTTATAGACCTTGAAATACATTGTATAATGAAATTGTATATACTGTAGACTACATCTCTCTGTTGATATAATTAGTGCTAGTATCAGTAAGATTCTGAATGTATAAAACGTTAATGGAAATAACATGTCGCTATTTGTAAGAACAAACACTTGACAGAAGTCTAATTAGTCCTACTGTGTTAAGCCGTAACCTGTTTAGTAATTAGAAAATGGGTGTAGATAAAACTAACATGTAGTTTTGTGTTTTGCAGAATACACTGTGAAGAATAAAACATTTAGGAGAGACTTGAAGTGTCGCCCTCGCAGCCAATCCTTCTCAGCAAACTTTTCCTCGAGAACATGGCTGACAAAACTCCACCTTACATTCCGGAGGATTACCTTCCCCTGGAGGAAGAGACTGCTCTTCGATCTCAAGTTGTTCGAACCAACTCATTGTTCTGTCAGTCTCTACTGCGGGAAATGTCTGAGAATTCATTGATTTTGCTTCCCAAAGCAAAATCAGATAAAGATTTAGCCAAGAGTGATTATTTCTCTTCTGAATCGAAAGAAAATTCGAACGTGACGCCGGATTCGTTATTCAAATTAATAAGGCGATGCAGTGGCATGAAGACTTCAGTATCAGGAAATATGTTCAATGACCAGATAGAGAAAATATCAAGCAATGTGCCTTCAGATATTTCATCAGAGGAAACGTCAAATAAAACGGCGCCTGAACTACCGATGGAAAGATTCTGCAGCACAAATAGAGACATTTCCGCCAAAGAAGTGGAGGTTCTATCAAGTCAAGTCCCGTCTAAAGAATCCTCTCTGAAGAGGTCGAGGAACCTATCTAGTGAGGGAGAATCTGAGGATTCATTCGAAAAGAGAGCTAGGGTTTCAGCAGAGGAAATTGGTACAGGAGAGCAAGGAAAGGAAATGTTTCTTATTTCACCGGTTATGTCACCAATGACACAAGACATGCCACCTGAGGCTCCATCAGAAGGAACTATGACAGAAACAAATGTAGAATGCGGGGTCTCGCCTAATGAAGATAAGTCAGAAGGCCAAGTAGCAGAGGAAGAGGTAGAGAAATCTGAGGCCAACATGACCAGTGAGGAATCCATGGATGTTCCAAGTGTGGAATCTGGGAAAATGTCTCAGAGTTCATCATCTGTGCCAGATCAACAGGTGTCAATCGCTGTTGATAAAGAAAAAAGTTCTGAAGGCGACAGGTGTTCAATTTGTGGAAAAAGAAATTGTCCTTCAGATCCTAAACTGCGTTCGAAAATAACCACTACCAGTGAGAAATCCACAGATGTAACAACTGCAGAAGCTGAGAAATGTCTCAGAGTTCATCTGCCAGATCAACAGCAGGTGTCAGTTGCTATTGCTGAAGAAAAATCTTCTGAAGGCGACAGGTGTTCGATTTGTGGGAAAAGAAATTGTCCTGCAGATCCTAAACTGCGTTCGAAAATAAGCCAAATGCCCATGCCCCAAAAGTCACTTGTTGGGAAACCAAAGTCTCCACGAAAGTCCAAGTTCTCCCAGGTTAATGTTATGAAGGTGAAGAAGACGAAGACTCCATTCAAACACTGCATTTATACTCGAAGTTTAACAAACAGATTGGCTAAACGCATCGCTAATCACACACCACTTCATGTCTTCAAGTTAAAGGTAACGTAAGCATTAGTAGGCATAGCTAATTGTTTCTATATCACATATTTGATATTTTGGCTTTCATTGTGCTTTAGTACATTTCCAAATGTTTTCGAAAGTTCAACAAATTATTATTGGTCAATAGGGTCAGCTCTTCAAAGCAGTGGAAGATGGAGATGTGGTAAAAGTGCAGGAATTAATACAAGATACAGGAGCAGCTGTGAGGAAAAACAAGAGCAGATGCACACTCCTTCACACTGCAGCGTCTCACAACCAAGCGGATGTGGTGATGTTTCTGCTGAAATTGATCAGTCCCAATATTACCAACGAGGAGGGACAGACTCCAGCTCACGTGGCCGCTGAAAAGGGTCACACGCAAGTGCTGAAACTTTTAATGAGTGACTCTGACTTCGATGCCGACAAACGGGATAATTGCCACAACACAGTAAAAACCCTAGTAAGTAATTATGATAGAAAGAGACTACAGTAGCATTTCAATCACACAAGCTTTCACCCGATAGTCTAGCATGAAAATGTTAACTGTAGAGTTGTAGAATGTAGTTAATTGTACAATATGCGTTTTCATTTGGAGTATTTTCTTTTCTAAGAGTTTTCTTTTCTCTCTAAGCTTGGTGGCCATCTGTTCAAGGCCGTATTAGAAGGGAACAAGAAAGAAGCAGAAAGACTGTTGGCAGTTGGTGCAGACCCAGACAGTCACGGTGGAAAGCTGGTGAATGGAGTGTTGGCACGAGAGCTTGGAGTGACTACAGCTGGCCTCCTTGCCAGTGCCCTGAATATGGAATGGGCTGTAACCATGTTTGCCAAGGTAATCATCTTAGATCTCTTATATCCTCAAATTGTCAACAGTGTCTTGGGAGAATATAAAACTTATATAGCGTAATGTAAGCTTTAGAAAATTTACATTAATTTCAAATGTTTCAGAATGCAAGAAATGATAAAACCGGTGAAACTGGCCTTCTGACATCAGCTGTCTCAAACTCTGTGCAGCTTAAAGTGAGTGACATCTATATGAATTGTATTATATACTTTTTTCTACCTATCACTCTATAACTAATCTTATTTATTCCTTCATTACTTTACATTCCACTAATGACAGGCATCTTTAAATTTCAGGTTCCCTCACGACAATTTCGTGTGAGACATGCAACGGCAATTCAAGGAGGTGCTGATGTGTACAAGATGGACAAGGAGGCACGAGGCTTTGTTCGCATCTTGAACTTCAGTTGTTTCAAGGACAGATCCGACCTGAACCTTCAGCAACTCGACTACGATGCTTGCATAATGTCAGATGTATTTGATAAGATGGGATACATGTGTAAAACACACTCGTCACTCACGGCTCAGCAGACTAAGGAGGTCATGAAAAACATTAGGGATGGTGATGAGCTAACAGACGTCGGATGTGCTATATTTGTCATTTGTGGATATAGTGTAAATGGCAGGAGTGTTCTTACGTCTGACATGAAATGTGTAGACATCGACTATATGTTGAATGCGTTCAAAGATTCCGAATGTCCTCAGCTCAAAAACAAACCCAAACTTTTCATCTTTAACTTGTTTAACATGAATGAAGTTATCGAGACTTCAAGCAGTGAAAGTCCAAAAGTGATGAGGTTGACAGATCCCCTGAACGACATGGCTTGTCTATATTCGAACAGCATTGGTGTGAACTGCGTCCCGAATGGGAAAGGAACCTCCTTCAGCTGGTCCTTGTGTCGCACTTTGGCAGAACATGCTGCTGAGCATGAACTTTGTGATTTTTACAGAGAATTCCTGAAAGAATACAACAAGAGCTCTCCTAGTTTCTCACCTGAATTGAGGTACTTTGGCTTCACCAAGAAATTCTTCTTTAATCCTATGTAAATTGAATGAGACCTCTTGAAAGAGTTTTTATCTGATTCACACACCATGAATTCAAGAGATCTTCAACAGCAGTTACCTGAGGTAGTTTTTATTATATATTCAGAAAAATGCACTGGGCAAACTTTGGGTATTGGGACAAACATAGAAAAGTAACATTCGATGAATAATTATCAACGAAATATTTCAGGTAAAATATTTATATTCATTCACTTTTTTTTTATCGATTCTCGAAATAAATAAAAATTATTTTATATTATGTTTTGTAGAGGGAGATTGCCAAATAGATATACTAATATAAACACATGAATTATTCATCATGTTTATGTAAATAATGTACAAAATATATCTAGTCATTCAAATGCTGTACATTAAAAGCTTTTAGTGTAAGTATATATTTCATTTGTATTAAGCATTTTCATATCCTGCTCTTTAAATCTTTATCATTATCTATAAAAGATAATAAGTATATACATAAATGTATATATATACATATCATCAATGAACATGATAAAACACCAAACATTACATCGAAGTGGTTGGGATTTCGGGATGTTACAAAAAAGGGTTATACATATATATACTTATGCACGTATGTATGTATATACTTACATATTCATATATACATGTTAATATACATGTGACTATATATGTATATATATATACACACAGAAAGGGTGAGAGAGATTTTTGTATGTATTAGTATATAAAGATATATACATAGGTACAATGATACATACAGTACATACATAAAGATATACATACCTAAATGCGTATTAGTATGCATATATATACTATATGTTGATAAATATGTATATATGTACACATATGATATACGTACATATATCATATACATATGTACACAATATGTATTTACACATATATACATATATGTGTACATATACATACATATATAACATATATGTATATGTATTCATACTTATTTACATATATAATATGCATATACACACATATGATCACACACACATATATGTATATATATATATATATATATACATATATATATATATATATATACACATATATATATACATACATATATATATATATATATATATATATATATCTATACATACATATATAATATATACATACATATATATAAACATATGTACATATATATACATACATATGTATACACACACACATATATATACATATATATATACATAACAGATAAACACGCATAAGTAAAAACATCCCGCTGCCCAGACGACACTTGGTAACTCTCTCGGGTTGGGACTTGTTGTGCTACGTCGATATGACGTCACGGAAGGGAATGGCAAGTGATGAATTTCATGAACAGTCGTCAGGTGTGCGATTTCACACTCGCACACTTAACTGTGCATATTTTATATTGAGATAAAAGTGGGAATCAATAGAATAGCTGATCATCGACCTGACTTTGCTTTAGCTATCGATCCCTGCTTGCACATAGGCGGTATGCACTGATCAGCTGATCTGCCGAACACTAGTGTCATAGTGATAACATGCAACTGGATGTGAAAGTTCCGTGTGTAAATTGGTGATTGGTTGTGTATTGCCCGCAATATTTTAACTATTAATCATGGTTGATGTAATTACAGCACTAAATTGATCTTTGAGTTTCTCTTTATTATCTACTGTTCATAATTATGTCAGAAATAGTAATGAATGAACAGAAACGGAGTCATTAACTTCCCTAAAATGTCACTGATATTATGGGATGTATATATATTATTCATCTATCTAAAACACACAAATGTATATTATGTATGATATATATGTTGTATATATAGTCTCAATTTCCTCAGAAGTCAATCACATTTCGATTTTTCTCTTCTCGAGCGCACTCTGGAGAGAATCCGCTAACATAGGAAATAGCATTTAAGTGAAAGACATAGAGAGAATGAGAGAGAAAGAAAGGAAGCAAAGAAACGAAAGAGGAATGGAACAAATGAAAAATTAACGTACAGAAAAGAAAAAGATATACAAGAGAATAGAAAAGAATGGTAGGATGGCGAACAGAGAGAGAGGCAGAAAGGCAGAGAAAAAGAAATGGGAAACAAGAATGAATAAGAAAGATAGAAAAGGAACTAAAGAAAGAAAACGACGGAGAATAAAAAAAGATTGGAGCAGAGAGAGAGAAGAGATAAGAGCAAAGAAATGATGGGGAAAATGTGAAATAGTTAAACAAAAACAAGAAATATATCATAATGGATTTCCACGGCATCGTAACCTTCCTCCGTGACGTAGTCGTGACGTACCATCACAGGTTTCAACCCGTGAGAGTTTCCAAGTGTCGCTAGCACATTGGAAAGCAATGTGAGAAACTGCATAGGAATATCTGTAATTATAGTACAAATTACACAATATACACATACATCAAAAACAGGGAAACACACATACACCCATACATATGTACACATCCAACACCAGTCACAAATGCATCAACATAACACATAGGGATACGCATATAGTCATACATACTCAAGTACGAATACGCATATCTAGATGTTTGTCTTATCTGTTATCCAAATTTCTACCTATCCTCCTATTCATAATTTTATTGTGAATGAAGGTTTGTGGATATTCATGATATAATTAATACACAAATAGATATCAGGATTAACTTTCTTGCCGAAAAGTCTAGATATCTGATTATTGCGTTTATTCATTACCTTAAAATATTAACTCAAATAACGAAAGCGTAATAAAATTGTACAACACAAACACACAAACACGCACGCACGCACGCTCGGACACACGAGTATTCAGGATAAAGATATGTTTACATTCAACACAGATGTATACACATACACCTGTCCGTATATCTTATCTTTCAATATATACAGTGCTTGTACCTGTTTATCTGTTTATAATTGTGCATATGCATGTATGTATACTTTATTCCATTTTTAAGGCAAGGTTGAAATCCAAAAAGGAAAACAAATATCAGCACAAGTTCGAGCGTATTGCGCGCGCAGCTGGGATATCGCGTTCCAACTTGTCTCGCGTCGGAGCCCTATAAATAGCGGACACACCGACCTTGCAGTCAGTGCTCGCTCGGTGAGCAACGTGAAAACAGTGCAACATTTGAAAGTGTCACTCCACCATCTTGAAGCATACTTGTGCATTTAAGGAAAGAAGATATTGAAATTTGTTGTGCAAATTCACTGGTGTTTGAACTTAGATAACAATTGCTGGATTAATATTAAGGTAAGAATAACATATTTTAGAGACCTTGAAATAAACAAAATTGTATGATATACCGTAGACTTTATACGGTCGTTCCTGAAAATCACATTTCAGACTCTACCGGATATCTCTTAGTGTAATTAAAACTGGTGTCAGTAAGATTCTAATTTTTGTATGAAACATTAATAAAAATTACATCTCGCAATTAGCAGGAACAAACATTTGACAGAAGTCCAATTAGTCCCACTGATTTATGCCCTAACCTCTGTTTAGTAATTAGAAAATAGGTGTAGATGAAACTAACATGTGTTTTCTGTTTTGCAGAATACACTAAAGAATTACTAGAACATTTAGGAGAAACTTGAAGATCTCCAGAGCACGGTTGCTGTCGCCCTCACAGCCAATCCTTCTCACAAACTTTTCCCCCGAGAACATGGCTGACAAAACTCCACCTTACATTCCGGAGGATTACCTTCCCCTGGAGGAAGAGACTGCTCTTCGATCTCAAGTTGTTCGAACCAACTCATTGTTCTGTCAGTCTCTACTGCGGGAAATGTCTGAGAATTCATTGATTTTGCTTCCCAAAGCAAAATCAGATAAAGATTTAGCCAAAAGCGATTATTTCTCTTCTGAATCGAAAGAAAATTCGACGACGCCGGATTCGTTATTCAAATTAATAAGGCGATGCAGTGGCATGAAGACTTCAGTATCAGGAAATATGTTTAATGACCAGATAGAGAAAATATCAAGCAATGTGCCTTCAGATATTTCATCAGAGGAAACGTCAAATAAAACGGCGCCTGAACTACCGATGGAAAGATTCTGCAGCACAAATAGAGACATTTCCGCCAAAGAAGTGGAGGTTCTATCAAGTCAAGTCCCGTCTAAAGAATTCTCTCTGAAGAGGTCGAGGAACCTATCTGGTGAGGGAGAATCTGAGGATTCATTCGAAAAGAGAGCTAGGGTTTCAGCAGAGGAAATTGGTACAGGAGAGCAAGGAAAGGAAATGTTTCTTATTTCACCGGTTATGTCACCAATTACACAAGACATGCCACCTGAGGCTCCATCAGAAGGAACTATGACAGAAACAAATGTAGAATCCGGGGTCTCGCCTAATGAAGATAAGTCAGAAGGCCAAGTAGCAGAGGAAGAGGTAGAGAAATCTGATGCCAACATGACCAGTGAGGAATCCATGGATGTTCCAAGTGTGGAATCTGGGAAAATGTCTCAGAGGTCATCATCTGTGCCAGATCAACAGCAGGTGTCAATCGCTGTTGATAAAGAAAAAAGTTCTGAAGGCGACAGGTGTTCAATTTGTGGAAAAAGAAATTGTCCTTCAGATCCTAAACTGCGTTCGAAAATAACCACTACCAGTGAGAAATCCACAGATGTAACAACTGCAGAAGCTGAGAAAATGTCTCAGAGTTCATCTGTGCCAGATCAACAGCAGGTGTCAGTTGCTATTGCTGAAGAAAACTTCTGAAGGCGACAGGTGTTCGATTTGTGGGAAAAGAAATTGTCCTGCAGATCCTAAACTGCGTTCGAAAATAAGCCAAATGCCCATGCCCTTAAAGTCACTTGTTGGGAAACCAAAGTCTCCACGAAAGTCCAAGTTCTCCCAGGTTAATGTTATGAAGGTGAAGAAGACGAAGACTCCATTCAAACACTGCATTTATACTCGAAGTTTAACAAACAGATTGGCTAAACGCATCGCTAATCACACACCACTTCATGTCTTCAAGTTAAAGGTAACGTAAGCATTAGTAGGCATAGCTAATTGTTTCTATATCACATATTTGATATTTTGGCTTTCATTGTGCTTTAGTACATTTCCAAATGTTTTCGAAAGTTCAACAAATTATTATTGGTCAATAGGATCAGCTCTTCAAAGCAGTGGAAGATGGAGATGTGGTAAAAGTGCAGGAATTAATACAAGATACAGGAGCAGCTGTGAGGAAAAACAAGAGCAGATGCACACTCCTTCACACTGCAGCGTCTCACAACCAAGCGGATGTGGTGATGTTTCTGCTGAAATTGATCAGTCCCAATATTACCAACAATGAGGGACAGACTCCAGCTCACGTGGCCGCTGAAAAGGGTCACACGCAAGTGCTGAAACTTTTAATGAGTGACTCTGACTTCGATGCCGACAAGAGGGATAATTGCCACAACACAGTAAAAACCCTGGTAAGTAGTTATGATTGAAAGATACTACAGTAGCATTTCAATCACACAAGCTTTCACCCGATAGTCTAGCATGAAAATGTTAACTGTAGAGTTGTAGAATGTAGTTAATTGTGCAATATGCGTTTTCATTTGGAGTATTTTCTTTTCTAAGAGTTTTCTTTTTACTGTCAGCTTGGTGGCCATCTGTTCAAGGCCGTATTAGAAGGGAACAAGAAAGAAGCAGAAAGACTGTTGGCAGTTGGTGCAGACCCAGACAGTCACGGTGGAAAGCTGGTGAATGGAGTGTTGGCACGAGAGCTTGGAGTGACTACAGCTGGCCTCCTTGCCAGTGCCCTGAATATGGAATGGGCTGTAACCATGTTTGCCAAGGTAATCATCTTAGATCTCTTATATCCTCAAATTGTCAACAGTGTCTTGGGAATATAAAACTTATATAGCGTAATGTAAGCTTTAGAAAATTAACATTGATTCCAAATGTTTCAGAATGCAAGAAATGATAAAACCGGTGAAACTGGCTTTCTGACATCAGATGTCTCAAACTCCGTGCAGCTTAAAGTGAGTGACGTATATGAATTATTATATATTGATCACTCTATAACTAATCTTATTTATTCCTCATTACTTTACATTCCACTAATGACAGGCATCTTTAAATTTCAGTTCCCACACGACAATTTCGTGTGAGACATGCAACGGCAATTCAAGGAGGTGCTGATGTGTACAAGATGGACAAGGAGGCACGAGGCTTTGTTCGCATCTTGAACTTCAGTTGTTTCAAGGACAGATCCGACCTGAACCTTCAGCAACTCGACTACGATGCTTGCATAATGTCAGATGTATTTGATAAGATGGGATACATGTGTAAAACACACTCGTCACTCACGGCTCAGCAGACTAAGGAGGTCATGAAGAACATTAGGGATGGTGATGAGCTAACAGACGTCGGATGTGCTATATTTGTCATTTGTGGATATAGTGTAAATGGCAGGAGTGTTCTTACGTCTGACATGAAATGTGTAGACATCGACTATATGTTGAATGCGTTCAAAGATTCCGAATGTCCTCAGCTCAAAAACAAACCTAAACTTTTCATCTTTAACTTGTTTAACATGAATGAAGTTATCGAGACTTCAAGCAGTGAAAGTCCAAAAGTGATGAGGTTGACAGATCCCCTGAACGACATGGCTTGTCTATATTCGAACAGCATTGGTGTGAACTGCGTCCCGAATGGGAAAGGAACCTCCTTCAGCTGGTCCTTGTGTCGCACTTTGGCAGAACATGCTGCTGAGCATGAACTTTGTGATTTTTACAGAGAATTCCTGAAAGAATACAACAAGAGCTCTCCTAGTTTCTCACCTGAATTGAGGTACTTTGGCTTCACCAAGAAATTCTTCTTTAATCCTATGTAAATTGAATGAGACCCTCTTTGAAGGGAGTTTTATCTGATTCACTCCATGAATTCAAGAGATCTTCAACAGCAATTACTTGAGGCATTAGATTTTTAATTATCTATTATATAAAGAAATTGCACTGGACAAACTTCGGGTATTGGGACAAACAGAAAAGTCACATTGTGTTATAATTTCGATAAATAATTATCAA